AGCCGATCTACAGTTCAGTACATCATAAAACGTTTCAAAACAAATGGATGTGTAGAAAATAAGAAAAAAAAAAAAACGATAAATAATAAATTATTTACCTTGAATTATGAGAAGTATATTTTACGCCAGATCAATAAGGATCCATTTTTGAGTGCACCGAAGCTCCCAAAAATTGCTGAAAAGGATTTGGGAAAAGTATGTTGCCCTCAAACAATAAGAAATATACTGCATAAGTTGAATTACAATGGAAGAAGAGCTAGACATAAACCTCTAATCAGCAAGCGAAATCAAGAAGTAAGATTGCGATCCAAGCCAAGGAGCACATATCAAAAGATTTTTCTTGTTGGAAGAATGTGCTGTTCAGGGACGAGATCAAATTCAACCTTTTTGGTTCAGATGACAGACCTTATGTATGGAAGCGGCAAATGGAGCGCTTCTTGCCAAAAATATGAAGCCTACATTGAAGCACGATTGTGAGTCAGTAATGGCGTGGGGTTCATTCTCGGCCTCGGGACCTGGTGTATTGCATTTTATTGAGGGTACTATGGATCAGACTATGTACCTTAACATTTAGAAAGAAAGTTTGCCACTCTGTAAGGAAAAGCTCTGCCTTGGCGAAGATTATTATTTTTATGAAGACAATGATCCGAAACACAAGGCTTATAAAGTGCTGTCATGGCTGCCTATATAATTGTCCCCACGTCATGGATACACCAGCCCAGAGTCCAGTCATATATTTCATAGAGAATTTATGGAGCTATCTCAATGGAAAAATCTGCCAACATATCATATCCTGCAACTAAGATTTGAAGAAAGTTTTGTTGGAAGAATGGCAAAAAATTGAACATAGCTTTTGCGAAAAACTATGCCAAATAGGCTACAAATGGTAAAAAAGTAAAGGAATGCACACAGAATATTAATATCTACAAATACTTTAAATTATACGAAGTGTACGAGTTTGGCTTTGGCATTGAAATGTGATCCCTTTTATCTCCTAGTTTTACAAATTTTTCCGAGTAAATCGGTTATTGTAGTATAAAATTTTACATTTTTATAGTTCTGGAACAAAGCTTTAGGTGTTCCTTTAATCCCCTGAGGTTTATTGCACTGTAATGTTGTCTTTAGTTCAGGGACAATACATATTTCATGATCTCTATTTTATCAATTTCTTTTTTTTTTCTTTTTGTATCATTTTCAAATATTATTTCCAATACGAAAATAGTTTCCCGAAATGGTATTGTTATTATTATTGTTATTATCGCCTAATGCCAGTTATAAATCATAATTTAATTAATATTGAACTTACAGCACACACGCCTTGCCTATATGTATATGTGTGTGTGAGGGAGAGTGGGGAGAGACCTCCATTGCTAGTAGCCCATGTCTGTGAGTTTTTACAACTTGGCAACAAGTAGCAATACAGAGCCTTTTATACCTCTTCCATTTTTTTGTTTCTATTTTTTAGTTCTCCACATCAGTTGTGAAACTGTGCCTGTTTTTTTTTTTTTATTTAAACGATGACTTTTATTAACAAGTTGTGGGTGGCAAAGAAACTGTTTCACGAAATTAGCACCGATCGATCGGCATACTAATCAATGGTAATCAAGTATTTTACAGCAATTCGGATTTGGGGTGTATTTGAGAGCTGTAAAGCATTTTGTCTTTCACATTTCCAATATAATATATGGGTTTATTTAAAAAAAAACTACATTTTTATGAGAAGAAATCCACAAAATCGTTTAGCACATGTTGGAAGGTTTGATATCATATGGTATGAAAGTTCCTTTTTAGGAGAAGCATTTGTAGAATGAAGGGCATACATGTGATGACACAAAAGCAGCTGGCATCATAGAATGGCTTAATATAATGAGTTACCGACAGATATCGGTAAAATTCAAACTCAAACTTATGTATGAAAAATCTAAATTAATAAAATTTTGTTAATTACCGAAAAATTCGTTAATTACAGAAATTAAATGCGTTTTAATTTAAACGATATTTGTCGTTAACACAAAAAAAATGAGTTAGAGAATTCCACTGCAGAGATGGGAACATGTTTTCTCTTTATTTTTTTTTTATTTTTTCTCTTTATCTTTATTTATCTTGTCCTATCTTTATACTTCTATGTCTTTACTTTGTTCAAAGATATCCAATATTTTGGATTATCCGGACCTATATGAAAACCTGGACCTGCATAGACTATTTCTGTCACAGGCTGTAGCATCCATTACGAACTTCAAATACTGCATCTCAAACAATTTCGGTGATTATTGTACCTAAAATCGTCAAAATACCGAATATAGGGTGGTACTGATATATGAGGCCTATACGAAGACCTGGACCTGCATAAACAATTTTCTGCATCAGACTGTAGTTCCCATTACGAACATCAAATCCAAATTTGAAAAAATTCCGGGGAATTATGTCGCTAAAATCAACAAAGTACCGAATATCGGGAGGTACCGTTATACGGGGGTTATACCAAAACTTAGACATACATGGCTCATTTTGAATACCAAAAGTCCTGCAGACATAATTTACATTTGACTAAAATTTTATCAAAATTTATATAATTTTTTTATAAATAAATTTTTATTCGTTCGGAAGCTTGAGTGATTTCCACAGACGGATAGACGAACAGGTGGATGGACATCGCTAAATCGACATTGAATTTTATGCTGATCAAGAATATATATACTTTGTGGGGTTTAAAATGTATATTTCGAGGTGTTACAAACGGAATGACAAACTTAATATACCGTCCATACTATAGTGGAGGGTATAAAAAGTGAACAAAGGAGTTTTAGGTTGACTTAGTTCGATTTTTGACCTAAACTCCTTTGTTCCTTTCCGATGACTTAAGGCAGCCAAAAAAAAAAAACTTTTTATGTATTTTAACCTTAAGGTAATACCGCATTCGATAAAATTTTGGAGTTATAAATTTATTTCCAGCTGTTAATTTCATTTGAAATTCTAAAGTTTTAATTGAAAAGTAGCTACAAATCCCAAATTGTGTAGTAGTGAGCAGGTGCAATTTTAAAAGTCATAAACTGTTGTTTAATATATAATTTCAAGATAAACCTATTATTAATCGTACAATCGCTCATCGATCGTAAAATCTCATGACTCATTACGCTCCCAAAAACAAAAATGAGAAGTAAACAATTAATGAATTTGATTGAATCAGTTAGTCTTTGATCTCCCATCCTCTCATATGAGTATAGAATTGAACTTTGGTGTCGATGTCATGAACACTTTATGCTAAAATTAAAAATTTCGAACGAAAGTTTGAACTTTATACCGAAGGGTTAGGGGAGAAATATTTATGAGCTAAAACATGATTGTTTTTTGTGATTAAAGGAGTTTTAGAGAAACTACAACACTTGCCTTTAGATTTATTCAAAATTAATTCCATAAATTGAAATATAGTGAGTGCTAGGCTATCTGGATCTATTGAATTTCATTCCGGAGATTTTCTGGCGACTTCTTCAGGTGATTTTACTTTCGACTGCTTTAAGAGATTTTCTTTTGACTTTATTGTTTTCGCAAAGTTTCGTGGACGTCTTTTCGACTTCTTCAGAGGAGGCTATTCAAATTTAGTTAATTTATTCTTCAGGGGAGTTTACTTGAAATTTAATTCCGTCCGTCTGTCCATGCATTTTTGTGAACAAAATGCAGGTCGAATTTATTATCCGATTGATATAAAATTTTCCAAAAAAATATTAGTTTGTCCCAAGGACGAACCCTATTGAAATTGGTGAGAATCAGTTAAAATTTAATTTATTTTAGCTCCCGTATATATCTTCAACAGATTTCGGGTAAATGTGCACCAAATTTGGTACCAGATATCAGATACAATTCAGAAAAACCTCTGCCTAATTGTGTCAAGATCGGTTCAGATTTGGATTTAGCTCCCACATATATCTTCAACCGATTACGGGTTAGTGTCAATATCAGTCCAAAGATCGGAATTTTGGCACATCCGACCGAATTCGGTCTAAAAGCAAGTATATCAAATTTGGTGTAAATCGGTTTATATATAGCCATAGCTCCCACATATATGTTTCATCCGATTTGGTCTTTTAGTCCCTAACATTCGTAATATGCACTCCACATGAATGATATTTGGTATCAAATATCTTATAAAGCTCGGAGATACCTTTGCCAATTTTTTTTTCGAGATCGGCTAAGACTTGGATATAACACCCATATACATATATCCTTAATCCGATTCCAGGTTTATTGTGCAAATAATGGCTAATATTGTGTTTCTATTTGGTGACACCGAAGACGTGGTAATAAGTAATTTTTGTCATAGACTGTAGTAACGTTCCGAACTTCAAATACGAAATTCGAAACAATTCTGGTGAATAATGTCGCTAATATCATCAAAATACCGAATATTTTGGGGTAGCGTTATATGGGTGCTATACTAAAACATAGGCCTATGTAGACAGGGGGTAAAGTACTCACAGAGAACTCCTTGTGTGGATTTTAGGCCAATTTCATTCAAAAATGTGGCTAATATCATCAAAATCCCGAATATAGTAGGGTACCGTTATATGGGGGCCATACGATATCGTGGACCGATATAGCCCATCTTTGAACTTGACCTGCTTGCAGACAAAAGACAGATCTGTGCAAAATTTTAGCTCTTTATATTTATTCGTTTTGATTGTAGCATGATTACAACAGAAGGACGGACGGAAAGGACTACATCGTCTTAAAATTTTCGCTGATGAAGAATGTATATATATATTTTTTTTTGGGTCTAAAACTATTATTTCGTTGAATTACATACGAAATTACCAACTTTATATACCCTCCAACTATGTATGGTGGAGGGTATAAAAACATCTTCTTACAAGGTATCGCTGGCGATACTTCTGAAGAAATATATCTTCCAATCGCCTATTGCTACCATTGTTTGAGCCTTTCATAATTGCAGGGTCATCTCTCTTATTGTAATTTACTTAATCTACCATACCATTAGAACTTACACTAACTTCATTTTGGTGAATATTTTGATGGCAGCAAAGAAATATCCAGCGATCAAATCGAGCTCACACACACGCACCCACTGATAGACTGCTTATCTGATGTTATTTTGATTCTTGTTATAGATATTTTCAAGTATTGTTTTTTTTTTTTTCTAATAATTTTTTTGTTTTGTTGCTGTTGTTGTTATTTTCTTGTTGTAATATTAAAAGGATTTCCTGCTGTTTTGAAGTGTTTCCCAGATAAAATGGGTAATTTTTGGGTGTTTTTTTCTCTTGTTCTTTGTGTTGTTCTTGTGACAAAAAATTTCAAATAACACTTGTAGTGGAAATTGTATTTTCCCAACAATATTTAGTTCTCATAACTAAGTTGATATTATTTTTTTGCGTGATTTTTCCCTATTAATTTTGTTGTTTTAGGGTTTATGTTGTGTATAATTTTTATTTGTTTTTTTTTTGTTTTTTGCTTTGAATCTCTGCCCGGCACTTGTAAACAAAACGGAGAGAAAATCACTGTTTTCTGTTGTTGTCTTCTAATACAAGGTTTGCGTGATTTATTATTACTGTTGTTCTATTTTTGGTTTTGATATTTAATTGTGGCAATTTATCTCTGCGTATGATTAATATCAATTTTAATAATAGCTTCTTGTTTTGGTATATTTTTTCTTTTCTCTTTTTTTGCAACAAATCACTTTGTTATTTATATGAAGAGGGATTTTCCGTTTTTTTTTTCTAGAATTCCGTGTTCCACTTCCGTTCCGTTAATCCGTAACGTCTGTCAGTTAGTTAATATCTAGCACGACTGAAAGTAATTTCTACGCTGGCAAACGCTTATAAATGAATTGGCCTGGCCGACGGAGCAATGGTGTTCGTTGTTTGTGACTGTAGGTGTTCGTTTACTCTGATGTTTTTGTTTAGGTGTTTGTATGTCTTCTTCTTCTCCTTGCTAAGAGTCGATCAATTATTTCTACAACGACAACAATAAAAAACAAAAAATATCAGCACCAACCCATACAAATATCGAACAACAATATATATGTGAACATCAACAATTACCGAACTGCCAGAGGAAAATAACAATAACAACAGCAGAAAAACTTGTGATAAGATTAAACCACGAAGTCAATCGGAATACATTCAGACAGACGCACACGCACACACATTTATCGATACCATGGAGTCCAGACTTTGATATTAGCAGATATATCTGCATATATATCTGTGTATATATACACCCACACACACACATTCGTTTTGGAGCATTTCCAAGACCCCGTTGTATTCACAAATACCTTCTAATGGATTACTCAATGAGAACGAGAGAGAGAGAGAGAGAAAGTGAGAAACAATGAATGTTACAAAGAGAACAGAGTTTTCTGATATTCTGCTGAGATGAAAGGAATTGTTTACAAAATCCGAGGATGACTAAGGAGTTCGTTTTCGCTATTATTAAATCTATATATTAGAAAGATCCATCCATACTAAACTAAAATCTACTAAAATTTACATTTAACCAAAAAGGTAGAATATTAGACGTTAAAATGTCTTGAAAGAACTTGAAAATTTTCAAAAAAAAAAAATCCGTAAAAAAACTTTTATTTGCCTTTTTTATAACCTACAACACTATGTGTTGGCGGTATTATAAGTTTGATTGGGCCAACAATTATGTAACACCTCGATCCCCGACATAGGAAACTCTATATGGATCTTCCTATCTCGCCGAACTGATTTGTATGTCCGTCTGTTCATGTTAATATGTAATCAAGCTGCAGGTCGCAATTATGGCCCGATCCTCTCGAAACTGAAAATGGAAATGGGGTGAGGGTCAAAATAAAAGCCTATTGTTTTTGGTGATGATATTTACGGGTTGAAATGGACAAAAAACAGAAAAATTTCCTGATTTTGCAGATGATCTACAGGTCGCAATTATAAACCAATCGAAGTGGAAATTTGCATAGAGTTAGAGTTCAGAGCTGGGCAGATGCTAACCAATTTGGACGATCATCGGACAATATTTACCGGGTAAAATAAATCATAATTTTATGTCAAAAAATACGAAAATTGTCACTAAACTGCGAATATTTTTAATCCCGGCCAAATCACAAAAGTTACATCTGACTATTATAGTGAAGCCAATAGTCTAGTTATCGAAGTCAAACGTCATAATTTTTACATTTTTTTTTAAATTTTATTGAATGGAAGCAAAAAGTGTCGGAAATAGCATCAAAATTTAGAATAAGTTTAGATTTTTTCGAATTGGTCACCTTTGGCACGAATTATGGCCTTCAAACGGCCAATGAAACCGTCACACGCTGTCCGAATGTTTCTCTGCGGTATTTTGGCCCATTCCCGGCGTAGCGCTTGTTTGAGGTCATCGACTCTTGGGTATTTTTTAGTGCCAACCTTGCTTTCCAAAATACTCCAGACACAATAGTCCAACGGATTGGTATCCAGCCATTGTGGACTGGAAATGAAGAGAGAAACCTTATTTTGTAACCATTCTTGGGTGGCGTGTGTTGTAATGTCCAAGGTCTGCGGCCAAAATGTATGCGTGTCCAAGACTTTAATACACCCTCCAGAATATTTTCGCCATAATATTCGGCATTTATTCTGATGCCATGGTCGATTAATACGAGCGGAGAGCAAACATCGGTTGTTCTGGCTGGTGCTTGAGTTCTGGTGACCAAACGAAGGTGCAAATTTTCAGCTGACCTCTTTGGCAAGTAAACACGATCACTCTTTTTGTTTACACATTGCTGGACAACGAATGTTTTCTCATTGGAGAAAACCAAATTCGGCTGTTCACAACTTTCGGTCAAGCGAAGCAACTCTTTAGCTCTTTTCTTTCTGTTGCGGTGTAAGTTCTTGCACTTTTTGGAATTTCAATGGCTTTACCCGGGCTCATTTTTCAATATTTACCGAATGAAATATTTGGATACGTTCAGCTCACGAGCCATTTTTCGGCCTCTGCGACACTGACAGCAGTCTGAAGTTGGTTGCAATTTTTTCCTCTCACCCTGTTGAAAACAATTACCCACCCACCAAAAAAAGAATATCAAAATAAGTAATTTGTCAAGTTTGTACCCGGGGAATGGATGAATGAACTCAGCATCGAGTCTTATCACATCATAAAAGTGCATATCAAACGCATTCACTTTAGAATTGGTTGAGAAAGTCCCTGAAAATGCAGACACTCTGGGTGTGGGCGATCGTAAAATCGCCGACATCAGTTTATATTGAAGAAGCAGCTAATAAATTGAACAAATATGAACAAAAATTGGGTGAACTGACATTAACATTTGTTTTTAATTGTTTGTTATTATGTACACAAAAAGAAGAAGACGAAAAACATCAACAACACCATTTTTGGGTGTAAAATAAAGCAAACAAAAACGCGAAGAAAAGAAAGAAAAGTATTCAATAAAATCATAGTAAATACCGCATTAAACAACTTAAACAAATTTAGTCCATGTATGCTATTCAAGCATGAAGAGAGAGAGAGAGAGAGAAAGGAAAAACTATCATGTTTGGAAGCAATAATTATCGGATAAGGAAATAGGCTTGCTATGCGATCCAAGGACGGTACTATTATTCTAAGCATCGTTGACAAATAAAAACCAGTTAAGAAAGTCTTAAAGTCGGGCGGGGCCGACTTCATGATACCCTACACCACTTTGCTAATTTAGTAGAGCTCCGCATAACAATTAAAAGTTTTTATGGGAGAATTCAATCATACACGCTATGATTATAATTATAATTTAAAGTTCAAAGGACTAAATATGCCGAAGCATTTGTATCTTTTTTTAAATTCGGACTTGTATTGCCCATTTGCTGTACAATTAATTTGAAATCGGATAAAGATATATAGCTATATCCAAATCGGAACCGATCTCGATAAAATTTGTCAAAGATATTTCTGAGCTGTATTTGATATTTTTCGCTGAATATCGTTGTTATGGAGTGCATATTATGGCTGTGGGTAACAAATATAACAAATCGGATGAACAGCTATAGCTATATTTGAACCGATCTTCACCAAATTTGACATACTAGCTTCTAGACTCAATTTGGTCGTAAGTGCCAAATTCCATCCCATTTGGACAAATATTAGACGTTTGGTGCACAATAAAAGGTAAATCGGACGAAGGTATACAGGAGCTATATCCAAATCTGAACCGATCTCGATAAATTTAGCAAATGTATTTCTGAGCTGTATTTGATATACAGTGGTGGCCATATCATATGCAACTAAGATTCATCTACGTTAAAAGGCTATATAAATTTGTAAATTTCACAACGAAGTATATAAAGATGGGTTAATTATAGTCAATACGTTCTTACGATTTCAAATTATTATCAAAATGTGCAGCTTTTGTTTATATCTCTATGTTCACAGGTGTTTTGTTGACAAATATGAAATTTGGTGTGGTCAAAACATATGCAACTTTATATATTTGGTTTAAATAACGGCATTTTTACAATTTCCTTTGTTCTATTGTTCTTCTTATTATTAGCTAGAGACACTGCGTAAAGAGATTTAAAGCTACCTTCACATTTTTATTGCGTTGTTTTTTCACAAAGCTACAATAGAGTTTGGTCAAAAATGGCACGCGATAAATTTGGATTTGAGCTCAGACAACGAATTGTGACTGCGTATTCTTCTGGATTATCACAGAAATGTATTGCCGAGAAATATACCGTTCATAAAAGCTCCATATCGCGCATCATTAATAATTACAAAAAAAATTCACAAGTCTCTGTTATACACCGTGGTGGTCGAAGTCGAAAAACAAGCGATCGGACGGACAAATTAATAATCAGACACGTGAAAAAAGACCCATTTATATCTTCCTCTAAGATAGTGGAAAGATTTCAGTTGCCAGTTTCTGCTCGCACCATCCGTAGAAGACTTTTACAAGCCTCCCTCTGCGCAAGACGTCCTGCAAAATAACCACTGATATCGAAGCGAAACCAGAAAAAGCGTTTGGAATTTGCTAAAGCTCATATAAATTGGACAGAGAGTAAATGGAGAACTATATTATTTAGTGATGAGTCCAAATTTAACATCATTGGTAGCGATGGCATGTGCTATGTAAGGCGACCAGAAGGAAAACGACTCGAAGCACGTTACTGTAAAAAAACGGTCAAGCATGGAGGGGGCAATATAATGGTGTGGGGTTGTTTTTCTGGTGCTGGAGTTGGCCCCCTACATAGAATTGTTGGTATTATGGATAGATTTATGTATAAAGACATATTGCAAAGGGTAATGCTCCCATTCGCAGAATATAATATGCCATTGCGGTGGGTCTTTCAACAGGACAACGACCCCAAACACGCTTCGAAGGTGGTCAAATCGTGGTTTGCCGATAATAGAGTTACGGCAATGGAATGGCCACCCCAATCCCCAGATTTAAACCCAATAGAGAACCTGTGGGAAATCGTAAACAAAAAAATTGATCGAGAAAATTGTACAAGTTTAGATGTTTTATTTTGCCGGCTGGAAGATGCCTGGAAATCAATCCCAAAAAGCGTCATTGACAATCTTATAGCGTCAATGCCTCGAAGATGTCAGGCTGTAATCGACAACAACGGATTTGCAACAAAATATTAACTTTATTTGCACTTTACTGAGCTCGATTTAATTAGTTGCATATGTTTTGGCCACTTCATAATAAGACTGAATATCTTTTTCTAATTTTTTTTTATAAATGAATTGAATATCTATGGAGTATATGTTTTTTCTTAAACTACAAGCAATAAAAAATAATATTTAAAAAAATAATTGCATAATTTTGTTTTCAGAAAAATTTTTCACGGTTTTTGGTAAAGGTTAGATTTCAGTTGCATATGATATGGCCACCACTGTATT